GCTTTCTTGTCAAAACAGTCTTTTACCTTTGCTACTCTGAAGCTGCAAAGGCTGGCATCCTGCTTGTTCTTGAGTTGTCCTCAGGACACCTTTTTTATTGTCTTCTGAAATACTTGGCTTTTTCTTGCTAGTCTTTTCAGAGAAAAATCTCTCCTCAGTTCCAGTTTTGCAGTCTGTAACTTTACTGGAGCTCATTTATGGTTAAATTTACAACATTTTAATCATTCTTCTGGGTTCTTTGCTCTTGATTTTCAACATAGATCTGGCTATAAGCTCATAACAGTGACCATGCCATAGCCTCGACATTAGACTGCCTTGAAATTTCTTCTGGAAGATTAAATAGTCCACTATTCTTCATCTCAGTCTCAGGCAGTTTCCAGACACCAGCAAAATACAAACTTTCTGCCAGTGCATAACATGGACACATGTTCTGAAGTCCAACATCCAGTGCAGTCCTTCTCAATAGATACCTCCTGAGCTTGGTCTTTATCATCATCATTCCCTCAGCATTCTGGTCTTCTGAGATCTGGCCAGACTCTTCCATCAAGCACAGACTCAAGAATTCTAGGGCTTCTTTTTTGGCCAGCATCTCAGAACCTTTCCAAACTCTTCCCACTAGGCAGTTTCAAAGGCTCCTGAACCATGTAGTCAGATAGTCCCAGAAATCACTCCATTTCTGTGGTAGCAAATTCTGTCTTAGTTATTTTTCTCATTGTTGAGACAAACTACTCAACATCAAAAGTTAAGGGAGTAAAGATTTCATTATCACAGAGTTTGTAGCAGTTTCACTTCATAGTTGGCTGGCTCCAAAACATGGTGGCACAGCACAGAGGCATCGCAGAGAAGAAACAGTCCATGGCAGGAAGAAGAAAGACGTTGCAAGCATAAAGTCTGAGCAACAATAGAAGCTTCTTTCTGACCCTTTTATAGTCCATCTAGTGAACTGATTTAGTAATCACACACTCCTAATTTCAGCACACACTAGATCCAGTCATAAGTCTTTGGCATGATATCTGGACCCAAATCAAAATGACAGGTTGTAACATCAAATATGAAAATTTATCCTATATATGATAAAAATAAATGTAAGGTATATGCTATGGTGTGTCTAGTCGCCCCTCAAAAGCCTCATGCAGCCGTGGGGTGGCTTCTGGAGCTTATGATTGATTCATGATCTAATGCTGGGATTAGGGTGTGAGCACCCTGGGGTAGATGCTCTGCATTATAATGTGAGGAGGGGAGAGAGGCTATCTAGCTGCCTAAACTGATGCTTTTCTTTTTGCTTTTGCTCTTTGCTGCCACTAAGAATGGCTGCTCTCTGCCATGTGTCACTTTGCCTTGGAGACAGCGGAGTATGGACTGAAACCTCCATTTACTGTGAGCTAAATAAACCTTTCCTTCCTTCATTTTGGGTGTCAGGTATTCATCCCAGAAACAAGAGAAGAGTAACTGAGACAGTGTAAAACCATAAGTCTTCATGAGTTCAGTGTTGCATTAGGTCAAAATGTTAACTATTGGAAAGAAAACTCTAGCTTTAAAAGAGCAAATTAATAAATTTAAAAGGTTTCCTCTTTCAGGAAAGAGGAACTAAGACACATAAAATACAACACACACATATAAAGAATTGTAAGATTTAGTAAATAATACCCAATTTGAAAGTGGGCATAAGGTTAAAGAATAAAATAGCACTAAGGAGATAAGAGTAGTCAGTTCTAGCATACTATTGGAAATGAAGGGTGATTATAAGGAACAACTACGTATTGTATATTTTGAAGTGCTAAGAAGGAAATTTGGATATTTTTGTAATAAAGAAATGATAAATGTTTGAAGAGATAGATATGTGTAAACTGATTGCACAATGCTTATATATGTACCCACATCACAAGGAATTACATTTAAATGTATACATTTTGTGCTTTCATCTATCAATTAAAGTAAGGGTGGTTTTCTTAAAATGTGGGAAAAATATAGATAACAGGGAAAGAGATCCAAAATCAATCGATCTATCTTTTTTCTTTCTTTTTTCCTTTGGTTTTGTTGTTCTTTATTCATATTAATTTTATTTTATGAGTACACGATTGTGGTATATGCAGTTTACAGCTATCTTGGGAAATGGTTACAAACTATAGCTTGTTTTTCTTTTTTTAAACCCCTTTCTTCCCTCCCTTGTGCTCCAGTTCCAATACCTGCATTTTCAGTCTTATTATCAATTTTATCCCATGTTCTAGCACATAGTGCTTCTATTAATTTAGGTTATTAGGTTCCTGTACAAGGAATATTTTATTATTTCTCCTCTATCTCCTTCTCATCTGTGGTGAATTAACTAATGGTCAACTTGTAACACCAGCTGAACTGAGACAATGTGGTTCTGGCTATGGAAAGCCCACCTGAGAACTGTTTTTATTGTTCCAAAGTTTAATTTAAAACACAACTTTCAAATAGTATCTTTTGAAGAGCATTTCAAAGCTCAGAATGAAAAAAATATATACATAATATATAATCAAATACCAGTTATCCTCAGCTCCTATCAAATCGACAGTCAGCAATGTCAATTTTAAGATTACTCCAAATCCTCTGTTAAATCTATGAAATTGGTTTTCACGGTTGTGGAATGAATGGAAATCCTGATTGCTTTCTGTATTCCATGCATGCTTACAATATTACCTAGAGTGGCTTGCTGTGCAACTCTTTATTTGCCACTTGCTCAGCAATGTGCATTTCTCTGTGTGATGGACCCAAGAGACAGATCATATTGGCAGGGGGTCTGGTGCTCTGCTGCTCGTTCTGTGCTTCCTGGAGTTCCCTGAGCAATCTTATGATCACACCAAGTTTCCTCTGGTACACTTCAGCCTCTTCAGAGTAAAAAACTTCAATTGGAGCACCGAAGTTTGTTACTGCTTTCAGTGCTGTGAGCCTGTCCTGAGTGCTGGAGTACAAATACCCTGCTGGCTCGACTTATGTAATCTCCATTCCTTTTGCTGTGTGAAGCAAGTGTCCTGGTCTGGTCTTCATCATCAGGTGATAATGTCTCCAACTCTTGTAGGGTCCTAGAATGCCCTCCTTTCATGAAAACATCCAGTAAACTATCTGCCATAACCTAGGGATAACCTTGGCATGTCGTCAAAAACTCGTGGACATTGAACTCACTTGGAAGGTCAGAGTGTTCCCCATAGGTTGAACAGCTTAAATCGGAATCACCTTTGCTGGCATTTCTAGAAGTGGAGTCATCTATGTAGACCATATGAACTGTTAGGCCTGTAATTCAAGTAACACTGTGGTTATTTTGTTCCTTTCTGCTTTTGGGTTTTCTGCAGCTCAGACATGAACTCTGTTTTAGGCTCTGAATTCTCTTCTGGCTAGGAATTTTCATTCCTGAGTGCAAAAGCTTATTATTATTTTTTTTTTAATGAGCAGAATATATTTATTGAAGGAAAGAAAGCTCCTGTCTGAGAGAGGGACAGGAGGGGTGGCCCGAGCAGGTGCAAAAGCTTAGGGCTTTATAATAGTCTCTGGTTTGTTGTAAATCATGGCATTGGTGCACATTAGTTTGAAGTTATCCTTCAATTCTTCTATGGACTGGTAGTCATTTTTTTTTTTCATTTATATATTTGGTACAGAGCTAGCATTTACTCCTGTTATTTTCTTTAATTGATTTGGACTCATGTGTTTTGCCAAAAGCATTACTTCTAGTTCTAACATCAAGAAATGCAGTCAAGACCCAATGCTATTATGGGCTACTAGACTCTTTTAGAATATTTTGCTGAGTTTACACACCTATAATATTCAATAACAGAACTTAGAAAAAATGGGGTATACAGATGAATGTCCATTTTGTATCTGTGTATTCAAAGTAGTTAGGATAAATATATAGTTGCATTCTCTTAATGAAAAGAATGATTTGTTCTAATGGTGTTTGTAAATAGGATCTCAAGTCTGCATCTTGTACAGCAATTAACCACTAAGAATATATGCAGTGGGTTATTTGTTGAATCGGTACTTCTGATTTGATGTGAAGCTGTCTCATTGCTGTTTATCAATAAAATTTTGAAGAAAAAAAAAAGAAATGCAGTCATACAACACTGTGCAGATGTACAGTGATCCACTGAGGGACATTTCAAGAGGTGACAGGGAAGCTCCAATCACTCCACTCCCTGCCTGGCAAGAGGTAGAGCAAGAGATGGGAGTATAATACAGTTTGTCACTGGATAGACTGAAGGGTTTTGGTTTCCATGGAATCATAATTCAAGAACATCTAACAGAATCTCAAGAAACTGGATTGGGTGTGGAAGTGCACACCTATAATCTCAGTACTCAGGAGGATGAAGCAGCACTGCCTTGCATTTGAGGCCAGCCTGAATAACAATAGTAAAAAACCTCTTAGGAAAGGAACAGTTCTGCTCCTCAAAAGGAAGCTTGAAAGAATCAGTATTTTATATTGTTTTTATAACAAGACTGAGATTTTGGATTCTATTATGGGTTGAATATATTATCCCAAAATCAGCTTGTGATCTTATCTGGAATAGGGTCACAGATAAAATGATGCTGGAATAAGGCAGGTCCGTAATCTAATGTGATTGGTGTACTTATAAAAAGTGGAAATGTGGAGACAGAGAGACACATATACAACCAAAAGCCATCAGTGCAGATGGAGGCAGAGATATGTGATGCATTTACAAACAGGCAAGGACTACCAGCAATCTCCAGCCACCCCCAGAATCCAAGAGAACGTGAGAATCCAATCCATTTTCTTCTACAATCTCAGAGGGAACTAATCCCACTGACAAGTTTTCAGATTTCTTGCCTCGAAAACTGTAAAATTGTAAATATCTGTAGTGAAGCCATTTAGTTTGTGGCCTTCTGATATGGTAACCCTAGAGAACAAGCCCAGTATGAGAACGTAACATTCTCACAGGACACCTTGATTTCATTCCAAAAGTAAAGGAAATAATGAATTTTGACTCCCAAAATCCATAATCCATAAATTTTTTTAACAATTGTGATTGTTCCTTCATGTGTTTATTTGCTTCAATTAGTTAAGGTGTCCAATACTTATTCAAGGACCCTCCAAGCCTCTGAGTTCCACGTAACTTTCCAAAGGCTTCACAAAGTTGAAAATATTTCCACATGAAATTGGCTGAACAGTATTTATATGCAGACTGTGATGACAATGCCTCAGTATCTGTATTTTGTGGAATAGTCCTTGGGAGACACCACCAGGCCCCGTCCTTTGCGGGCACCACGATACACGGTCTCTATTATGTCAACCATCTCCTGCTTATCTTCCATGGCCCAGTTAATCTTGTTGTTGTTGCCAGTGCCCAAGTCAATCATGATGTGTTTGTTCCTGGCAAGAGAAAAGGGAACCAAAGTTCAGAGAAAGAATTTCATAAAAAAGAATCTGAGTATACTGCTATCACAATTTCTGGTCAATACTGTTTTGAGGATACATATAACCAAGAGGAGAAACTATAGTTCAAGGGGATATGGAAGCAACCTATATGCTATTTCTAAAAAGTGTCACACAAAGACCACTAAGCTCTTTGTTTTATTTTCATTTCCTTTGGACAAGCATCCTATATGGCAAGCAAAGTTTCACACTCTTAGACAAGATGTTTACTAGAGGATTGCACTAATAATTTTTCTAAAAAGCAATGAATGTTTTTTATATGATTCTTACCAACACTGGGTATAAAAGCCTTACATTTATAATATGAAAATGACATTTCACTTATTTAAGTACATCTCACTATGTATTTTAGGCTGGCCTTGAACTTGAGGCGGTCCTCTTGCCTCAGTTTCCACTATGCTGGGATTACAAGGTGTGAGCCACCACACTCAGTCTTTTTTATAATTTATGATCAGGAAAGTAGATGTCCCTTTAAATGGCTAATTTTTTTCATAGAGATTTATATTTGCACTTTCCAAAATAAATGTTAATCTCTGTTGCATGTGCACATTTTTTTTCTCGTTTGTTGAAGATTTATATTAGCTTAATTTGACACTGCTATACAATCATACACTTGCCTTTAATTTTGGTCCATGAAAGGACTCAGTGTGAGGTTTCTGCTTTGATTTTCAATCAGCAGCTAAAAAGCTAATCTGATGCCTATCTTCTACATTAAGCATTTGCTTCAAGGATAACATTTCAGGGCCTCTCACTGGCCCAGGAACCCAGGGATGGAAATCCTTACTTCCTCTCAACCTCATATGTTGTGCCCTGCTTGTGGCTCAACCTCTGTCCCCATGAGTCTGGCTCAGTAAATATACCCAACTCATCTGAGTGTGAGTGGTCCAGTGCTTTATGCACTGTCCCAGCCACTCCCTTCCTTGAGATGTTCTCTATTTACTTTGGTACTTCTATGAGTACAGGTTCACAGAACATAGTCTCATATTACGTCCCAGCACTAAACTGAAACCTGGCATATTTGGTGCATAAAGTGAACACAGTACTCTTGCTATCTGTTCTAGAATTCTGGGTCACAGAAATAGCATAAAGAAGTTTAACCTTCTTTTCTAAATATGCCACCAACACCCCCCCCAAAAAAAACCCATAAAATATACAAAGTATGCCCCTGCCACCACTACCTCAAGGTGGTTCCTTCAGTTTCTTATCTATCACAGCATCTCTATGTCCCAAGATGGCTATCACTAAATCACATGAAAAAAGCACTTGTGAGGAAGAAGGACTCTTGTTATGTAGTGGGAATAACGTATACTGTGTCCTGCAGTTATGTGAAATGCAGAACTTATAAGTAATGAGCTTGGATATTTAGGAAAATTCCCAAGCAAATCCCAAGCCAAGCCTTTTTTCTTTTCATTTTATTTTTTTGCGACAGGATCTCATTTCATAGTGTAGGCTGGACATAGCCCAGGCTGATCTCAAATTCACAAGTCTTCCTGCCTTAGCTTCCCAAGTGCTGGAATTACAGGCGTGCACCCTTACAACTGGCCCAAAAGAAGCCTTGAAGGGGCTACCTGGTTTCTTCTTGCTATTTACGGTAAAATGAAAAAAAGAGAGAGAGATAAACTGATATAAGAACAGAATAACTCCTTTGCAGTTAAGACAAGATGCTGCAAAGCAGCAATGCAGAAAATGAAGACATGGACATACAGCCTTTTGCTGAACTCCATGAAAGTTTACAAGCCATTGTACTCAGTTATAAGAGGCTAAGGCTGTGCCTCATGGGTCCTGTCAACCAAACAGGAGGCACATGGTACCCTCCAGGCATTATTCTTCACTGGGTTTACCTTATGTCCTAAAAAATGTGAGACACACAAAGGAGTAGGTACAGGAGGTGATAGCCCCAGTACAGGTTCAAAAAGCAAGGTAACAGACTACCCAACTGCACTGATCATGTAATAAGGACTCAAGGAGAACTACTTCCAGAGGGTAGAACATGAAGCCATGAGGATAACCTCAGGTATTGATGCCTATGGATTTGCCCAGCCTTGGATGGGAGCTTCCCTGTTCTCCTTTCACTTTTATGAGATGGTCTTACTATATAGTTCAAATTGGCCCTGAACTTCTGGTCATCCTCTTACCTCAGCCTCCAAAGTTCTGGATTTACAGGTGTGTGCCATGACCCCTTGCCCAGCTGTGTTTGGGACAAGGGACTTTCTTTGTCCCTGGGCTTCATAGGTCCACAGGGGAAAGGGAACAGTGCTCCAGAAATACGAGTTCATGGTTTAGATGATCTGAACAATGAGATTTTGGAACTGTGGTGGGATCCTCAGTAACTCTGGAGAGGGATGTGTTTCCCTCACAGGTGGCAAACGAATCTTTGGGAGCCAGAACGCATACAGAAGTAGCCAATGCTCCCTCAGACTCTACGAATGTGATAGGTTTCAGGCCTGTGATTCTGTGACATGATACTGCTAAGGAAATTTTACAGATGTGATTCAGGTTTCTAATTTATTGACTTTAACATTACCCTCAATTAGAATAGCTTAGCATTGGAAGACAGAGACAGTGTCCTAACTGGTGCTGACTTGTGAAAATGAAGGGGCCTCTAAGAGCACAGTGGCCCTAACCTGAGAGCAGGAAGGAAACAGAAACCTCAGATACAAAACGAGAAGGACCTGGATTTAACCAATAACCTGAACAAGTTGAAGTGAACTCTTCCCATGCCCTCCAGATAACCATCAACTCCACAGTTTTGGACTGTGAAACCCTGAGCAAATAATGCAGCTGATTCTCACAGACATCATGTAACTACAGAATGAGCTTATGAACAATGGTGATATATGTTGCTAAATTCAAGTAAATATAAAACTAACACACACCTACAGAATGCCCTGAGATGTTTCTTACCATGATGAAGCTTTCCTCTTGGAGTTAGGCCAAACAATCATATTGTTATTTGCCAACTACTGTAGAAGTACAGTAAAAAATTTGGACAATAATGTCAAATGGTGACTGCTTCCCAAATTTAATCTTTACAATGGAATTTGAATTGATAAAATACTGTACTTTTAGACAAAAGTAATTAAATTCAGATTTTCCTGTAGAGTCTTTAAAAAGAACACTAAGATTTTTTTTCTTTCATTTTTGAGACAGAGTCTCGCTATATAGTCCAGATCTTTAACTCAATATGTGGCCCCAGGATGGCCTTGAACTTGCAGTGATCCTCCTGCTTTAGCTGGGCTCCTGAGTGCTGGGCTTATAGACAAGTGCCATCACAACCAGCAGATACTAAATTATTGATATGGTGATTAATAAATCATTTAAAAACACTTTTCCACCAATAGAATATATTTAAAGATATCCTAAATGTCAGTTAAGAATATTTTCCATTTCATTATACTTCCTTGGGCTTCTAGGTATTTATTTCAAAAAGGCTACTGAGTAAATGCTACAACTGGAATTACTATTTTGAATATCATTTAAAAGATATTGACTGCCTTGGGATACAAACTGCCTTGTGATATAGCTGCATAGCTGATTTCCTCTTAAATCACAGAATCTGCCCTGACTAACTCAAACTTCCAAACCAAGAGTATTTCATTTAAGTAATATTTTAAGGTAACATACCTGAAAAAAAACATGACAGTACAAGGATCATATAACTCATACATTTTGTTGAAGTCAGGTACTTCCGTAATATCCACGAGATAAATAACTGCAAAATTTTTAACCTAAAAGTAAAGGAGATTTTAAAAATGAAACAGGTAAACTGTACAATTTTTTTCATATCAAGTTCCCAATATTTCTTCCCACAGAGCTAAAACGCAGGAAAATAATATAACACTACCAGGAGACTGACAAACTGGTTAGCTGTAACTCATTTTGCCATTTCTGAGAATAACTTATTAACTGGCTGAACTCAAGTAACAAACTAAACCCCCTTTTTTTTTTTTTTGGCGGAAGTGGGGATTGAACTCAGGCCCTTGCACTTGCCAGGGAAGCACTTATTCCACTAAGCCATCTCCCCGGCCCCTAATCTAAAGGCTTGAAGAAAATAGTTATAGGTATCATTTGTGCTGATCCATGAATTATTTATGGATAATTCATTATGGACCTTTCACAAATTTGTACTTTTACATATATTGGTCTCAAATATGCCTGCAGAATTGAGCCATTTCTCCCTACTTACTTAAGCTTGAACATTTGCAAGTATTAATAGTTTGAAATCAAAGTAATACTGCACAATTTTCTGCATAACTTCAACTGCACGTTTATCAGAAAAATTTAGAAAAACCAGAAAAAAAAACACAACCTTGGTTCATGAACTTGATTCTGGTTGCAATCAAATTCAATGGTTAGGATAAATGAGGTACCACTGTAAGATAACTTCCAATCCCATATTCAGAGGTAACTACTACTAACATTTTTGCTTATTCTGTCCCATCTTTTTTTTTCCTGGGTATATTTAGAAAGTTTATATCGTTTTAATAAAATATGATCATATAATTATCGCTATTATATTTCCTATCCTGTTTTTTTTCTGCTTTAATATGCCATTATTCCATCATTCTGTCATTTTCTGATTTTTCTTTTTTTCCTTTTTGCGGTACCTGGGATCGAATGCAAGACCCTGCGCTTGCCAGGCAAGTGCTTATTCTACTGAGCTATCTCCCTGGCCCTGATTTTTCATGACTATCATTTACCTGTATACAATTTACCCTCAATTTGTGGACATATTTCATTACATCTAAGTATGAATCACAAAATAGACTCTCAGTAACAGTCCACATGTTAAAGGATCTTTATAAATAACCGTATCAATGTCCTCTAAAAAGCTTCTATCAATCTTATACACTATGGGTTGAACTATCTCCCCTACCCGCAAAAGAACAGGAAATCTCAGTTCTCAAAATTGAGAATGTGACTTATTTAGAAAAAGACTCACTGTAGATGAAGTAAAGTAAAATGGAGCTCTGGGGTAAACACAGAAGCCAAGAATATAGAACCAAGAGTGGGAGGCTAAAAATGTAGCTCAGTGTTATAGCAAATGTTTAGTGGGTGTGAGGCCCTGGGTTTAACCCCTACCACCAGAAACAAAGACATCCAGACAGGAGATTCCCAGGGTACTCTATGTTGAGGTCACACCTCAAATCAGACAGGACTCAAAAGTGTTTGGCTTCCGGAAGGTCAGTGGTGACCTTGTGAGATATGCAGGGGTTGTGTGGCCAGAGTAAAGTTCTGAAGAACAGGTGTTAAGTATGCACAACTCTCCCAAGAGACTCAGTATGAAAAAGTGGGAAATAGTGCTGAGGAACTTGGGAGTTGAGACAACAGAGGATGGAATACGCTCCCGTAGTGGGAAGGAAAGGTTAGTTTCCCCAACCCCTCAACTCCTTTCACCTTTTGGTGAAACAAAAAATAGCATCTGTGGGTGAAAGGAGGTGAGCTTAGTAGCAAAACACCCTACTGCAAGTGCTACATCCACTTAAAAACAATTGAAATACCTCATCTGTTTTGTAAATAAGGACACTCAAATATCCTAATTCTGAAAATTTTCTACACTGCAAATGCTAAGATTTCAGTAAGACATTTGTTCTTTTTGCCAATAAGCATGAATACTATAGGTAATCCAGAAGTAAAAGAAACCATAACTAAATGCGGTGCCACAGCACTTTTCTTCTTTCCTTTCTGTATGAGTGGTATCATTTCCTTGGATCAGTCTGAAGCCTCAAAAGAGAAGGAATCATGTCTGTCATCTGCACTGAGGCCTCTCCAGAATCAGAGTATCTGACACACACAAAGCATTAGTTAACTGTTAACTGAATGAATAAATTGTAACAGTAAAGAGATTATTTCAAAATTCAAGAAACATATGACCATCACTGAAAATGTATCTTTGGAGAGCATTGGTGCAACAATTTTATTATGTAATCCTAATATTAGTATAAAAATCTTAGCTCTGTAGTTCTACCTTAAGAGGGTCTAATGAAGCATATTATTTAAGGGCAGTGTCCTAACTGGAGGCTCAGTTCTTCTAGTAAGGATAGTCTCCATCTACTAACTGTATATCCACTTCGGCAGTTATGTGAGAAACTAGTTATACAATGCTAAATTTGACCTCCTTGACCTTTAACTCCTTAGCTACCTCAGTATCTAATTGGAAGAGCTCTGGTCTGTGTACTTGCATGGACTCTGCTTTCCTTCCATGAGGGCTGAAATACAGATAATGATAGTAATATTTCTGAATGCTTCAATTCATTAATGAATTTGCAGTTTACTAACACACCAATGCATTTAAGCTACGTGTCCACTATTTTTTCCCAATATAAAAATGTCCATTTTGAAAATACAAAAATGAAATGGAAAGACCATTGCTTTGTATCTGCCCAGTATAGTTTTATACATGTTATATGACTTTGAAAAAAAATATGACAGTCATAAGGGGCCAGGGAGATGGCTCAGTGGAATAAGTGCTTTCCTGGCAAGCGCAAGGGCCTGAGTTCAATCACCGGTTCCGCCAAAAAAAAAAAAAAAAAAAAAAAAAAAGACAGTCAAATAAAATCAATAGTATGCAAGTATTTTAAAGTAAAATAGTACAGGTTTTGCTAATATAGACTCATGCCTGTCAGAAAAGCACATACAAATGCTGCTCCATATCATTGAATAAAGCTGGGGGTGGGGGTTCTACCCACGAGTAAAAGTTGCCAGTTCAAGCCTTGGTTCTGCCATTTTTTTATTACTTTACAACACCTGCAACCAGGGAGTAGTTCTGAGGATTCCCAGAGATGAACAACTTTCAAGCTTTGTAACTCACCTAACTAGTCAATATATGTATGGATTAGTCCCACAGTCATGCTCTTCTGTCAATGGACAGTCTGGTTGTTTTTAATTTCATTACAAATTATAGCAGAGTTCTCTCTGGGCCCAGAGCTATGCACACTTAGGGTTCTTTCCCTCCTCCTGGAAAGGTAGAGCCACTTCAAGGAGTGTGAACATTCTTAGGGCTCTTCTTGTGATGTTAAACTGCTTTTCAAAAGGACTCATGAGCAAGCCTGTAATCCCAGCTGCTGGGGAGGTTCAAAAACAGGATGATTACTACAAGTCTGAACTGTGTAGTGAAACCCTATATCCAAAAAAAAAAAAAAAAAAAAAGGACTCTCAATTTTATTGCTACCTGAACAGTGAATTACATTGAATTTCACCCCCACTATATCTCATCTGCATGGCTTTTTTATCTTCAGCCAACTCAGAGACTGGGCTTCTGTGTGCCACAAAGTCTGCCTTTCAGGTAAAACAAAGTAATTCCCACAAAATATATGGTTGAAGGATGGCACATGATGCCAACTAGCCTTTCACATTTTTGCATGGAGTTTCTCAACCAGTGAAGAATCCACCTAAAATTATTGGAAAAATTTCTGTGCAGTTGACTGGTTCTATGGAGTTTTAAATTGATGATTTTTACATTTTTGTGTAATTCATTTCAAAGTCACTCAGTAACTGAATTTTCAAAAATCAATACAGTAGATGCTTTGATTAGCCCTATTCATAAAATCTTGCCAATTTTGTAATGTGAGAGAAGTAATTATAAATAATAATAATGGCTTGGCCAAATAGCTCAGCAGATTAAAGCTCCTGCAAGAAGGCACAAGGGCCAGGGTTTCCATCCCCAGGCTTGCCATGTTGGCCCCACCCCCAGGGCGCACTGAGATGACAATGAGACTGGGCATAAAGGTGGTCCCAGCTCTTGGGAGGCTGTAAACAGGCACACTACTATGAGTTCGATCTAGTGGTGAGACCCTGAACACCCTGTGGACCCTTCCCTAAAAAAACAAAAAAAACCAAAAAAAAGGTAATGATACCTTTTGATTATGGAATACAATACTGTTTGCTATGTGATAGGTTCTAGAAACATTTTTTGGGGAGGCTTGAAATGTTTAGTAAACCAAGCTTTAAAATCATACAACCACCTTCAGTTAACATAGTACACATGTAAACAACAGCCTAGTAAATTAGAAATAGAGGAAAAATTAAAGTTCCTTTTGTACACTGGCACCTCACCACAACACTGTCTTCAGGCTGATGCCTTAGGGCTATGTTAACAGTTATACCAAAAAAATTAGGTTAGCTTAAGCCCATCTCCTAGGGTGGATTTCTTTTTTCTTTTTTAAAAATTATTGGGCCGGCCAGATGGCTCAGTGGACTAAAGTGCCTGCTTAGACAGAGTGCAGGCGCCGGGGTTGGACACCCAGCATACCCTGCCGGCCCCACCCCTGGGGCAAGCTGACAGTAATCAAGACTGGGTGGTAATCAAGACTGGGTATGGTGGTGCTGGCCTGTAATACCAGTGCATGGGAGGCTAAAAACAGGAGAATCACCACGAGTCTGATCTACGTAGCGAGACCCTGTACCAAATACATAATGTGTGTGTGTGTGGGGGGGGGTCTTGCTACACACCCATAGTGAGACTCCTGTCTCAGCCTCCCCAGTGCTGGATTATAGGCATGGGCCACCATGCCTAGTTTCACTGGTTGGCATTGTGTACCCAGGCTTCCATGGCCAGCATGGCACATGGTACCAAGAATCAAACCTGTTTCCTTGTGTTTGCCAGGTAGGCACATAGACCACTGAGCTATCTCCCCAGCTTTCCAGGGTGAATTTCAAAGCTATATCACCGGCCAACCTTTTCATATTAACCTATTTCCATCACAATCCTAGGAGCCCAGCACTATTATTATTTTTTTAACCCACAAAGGAGATGAGCTACAGCGAGCAGCTAGTAAAGTCAATTGACTAGCATGCGGCAAGGGTCTGGCTGAAGCTAATACCCCCATCACCACTCAGCACCTCCCAGTGGTTTTCTGCTAACTATAAGGCTGTCTATAACCAGACACAAAAATTCTCAAGAAATAGCAAAAATAGGCATTGTTTGCTCTTATGAGATTTCTCATCTGGCCCAACACTTGACTCTCACTGTTCCTGACTCTGAATCCTTAATGGGAAGATCCCCTAATGTTCTTCTTCTTCTTCTTTTTTTTTTTTTTTTGCAGAACTGGGGATTGAACTCAGGCCCTTGTACTTGCCAGCCAAGCCATCTCTCCGGCCCCTCCTAATGTTCTTCTAAAGTTACATAAATGAATCAGCCTTATACAGAATTCTACTGAAATATACCATTTTGCATTATAGAAATTTACAACTATTTGAATAGGCTTTTTAAGACAAAAATTAAACACCCATTAATCTTACTCACCATGGGATTAAGGGAAGTATGAACCCTAAAGCAGTACTGTGACAAACTATATTCCAAGAAAATGGAAAATCAGCTCAAAAGTACACCAAAAAGTAGTCTCTTTTAAACTGCATAAAATCAACAGCTACACAGTAAATTCTTTATTTTTATGTTTTATGAGGCAAGGTCTTGCTATGTTCAGGCCAGCCTCAAGTTAGCAGCGATCCTCCTGCCTCGGGCTCCTGAGTGCTGGGATGACACACATGCACCACCATGCCCAGTTTCAACTCTGTTTTTTCAACACAATCAACAACGTAGAGTATAAGTACCGTGCACTAACTGATTGCACTACTGGAGCTCCCAACCAACAAGATACAAAAAAATACTTTTAAATTATGTTACATAAATTACTTGGAAGAAAACCCGCAAATGTGTTTTGTTACTGCACTACAAAATTCTTAAAAATTTTTCCAACAATAATTGCCATTAACTTTTTTGGGAAAGGGAAAGTGGGAATCTCTGTAGAAATTAAACTATGGACACTTCCAGGAACAGATGAAAGTTATCCCGCTCAACTCCAAGGGCTCCCATTCTCATTTTGCAAAGGCCAGACGCCTAAGAATCTTATGCTTTTCTCTGTGGTTAAATGGGGCAACACTTTGGCACTTTCTGCACAACCCGAAGGTCAGACAAGCAGTGGATGTCACCTTTTCAGCTATGCTGTACAGAACCTCGTCCATCTTCATACAGGTAGGGTCCCAGTCGTGTCCGAACCGAATGACCACAACTCGATCCTCCTCCGAGAGGATGGCCTGATCTACCTGCCAGCCGTTGTGGAGGTGCGGGAGCATGTACGACATCCTGGCGCGGCGGGTTCTGCTGCAGGGCGCCGACGCGAGCGAGTCCCTGAGGGCGCGAAAAAGAACTCTGAGGATGCTCCCGTAGGCCCGGGGCTGCCCGGCTCAGGGCCCGGGAGCCTGATCGCTCGCCAAGGCCCCTCCCCACCCCGGCGCAGACCGTACCGGCCAGTCTCCTACCTCGTCCCGGGTAACCCCGGCCTCCTCACGCCCCGCGCCGACCCACCACGGCCGCACCGCCCGCGCAGGAGAACTTCCGGGCGTGCGCGCCGACGTGCGCTAGGGGCCCGCGCGCGCAGTGCGCATGTGTGGCTCACGTGTGGGCGCTGCTGCTTCTGCGTGCGGGCTGCCGGTGCCGCGCGAGCTGCGGCTTCCGTGAAGCCTGGAGTGTTCCGCCCGGCTTACAGGCCCGCGTCTTCATCTGTTTCCACCCGTGTCGGTCCATGTGTCACTCTGCTCTGTGCTGCGCCCTGAGTCGCCGGACCCCGGCAGACTGTCCCCAGATCTCCGGCGGCACGCAGCCGCCGGAGGGCACGGAGGCCTTAGCGCATCAGCGAGAGCGCTCTGCGAAATGCAAAGCCCTCAGTGTATCTCTGCTAATTAGTTTTAAGTTTTTATTTTTGTTTGCATTTTTATCGTGGCAAATAAGTGACAAAAATTCTTTGCTTGGCCAAACTTGAGCCAGACTGCTATCCCGCGCTGGTGGGCAAACATGCATGTTAAAAAAGTTTGCTTCCTAAACACATTAACTATAGTACATATCTTAGAAGCAGTCTACCCGCTACTGCAAGGGCACGTTGCAGTGTTCCTATGGCAATGTCCTGAATAGTCTTTACTGTGCTTTAACATAAAATTATTTTTCTTTAGCATATATATATATATATATATGTATATATATGTATAATAGATCACATCACTTTATCCATTTGGAGCGTATTAAATTCAGTGGTATTAAGTACATTTATTTGTGCAACCATAACCAGTGTTCATCTCCAGATACATCTTTAAAAAAGAAAAAAAAAAGCTTTCGAGATATACAGTATAGTTACGTTCCTGTCACTAAGACAATAATACTCCCAGCTTAGAGGAGGACAGGTTTATTTTGGCGCACGTTGTTTGCTGAGGATTCAGTCTTTAGGACTGCTTTCAGAGCAGGAAGGGTGGAAAGGTCTGAGGGTCCGACAGAGAAAAGCTGCGCATGGCTTGGGAATCTAGAGTCAAGGACAGGGGAGGAGCCAGGGAGGGCGGTACGTCCCCCAAGAGTATACTCCCAGTGGCTTGCCTCTTGCCACCAAACCCCCACTTCCTAACAGCCTTTTGGGCTGTGCCTTCTTCAGTTGTTTAGTCCACTGAGGAGTGTGGTACTCCTCTTGACTCAGTTACCTTCCAAAAGCATGGCCCTAGAACACATGCGCTTTTTGAGGGGCTTTCCATATGTAAATCATAAGAAGATGTAGTCCACATACTATAAAATTCACCCGCTTTAGCAGCAATCATTTCCCTCTCAACCTCTCAGTCTTTGGCAATCACTTGGCACTTCTTGCATTTAGCATGATAGTCTCTAGCTTCATGGAAGCTGGCCTCAATGCTTCCATTTTTCTTCTTTTTTTATTGTTCACAATCTGAAATAAAGATATATCACATTGTATTTACCCATCAGTTGATTGACATTTAGGTGGCTTTCACTTTTTGACAATTATGAATATTGCCATCACAAATGATTATGTACAAGTTTTATGTGGACTTAATTTTCGGCTATGTTATAACCTATGTAGCTGTCTCCATTTTTGTAACTAGAACAGCTATTTTGTATACAACTCTGTATGTTTCTGTTATAACCTATGTGATTGACTCCATTTTGTAACCAGAATAGCCATTGTATTCTACACCTCTGTATGCTTCCACTGTAACTTTATTAACGAGGATTGTTTGGTATAAGCTGACAACTTAAACTCCATCTTGGTGGCTCAAGCTGTCCATCAGACCTCTGAACACAGTTTGTTAATGTTCAAACTATTCTTTTGTTCTAAACCACAGTGTGTTAAAGGTTAAGATCTGAACTATTTCTTACCCCAGAGCACTCCACACAATATGTCCCGTGATCAACACCAAACCATAAATTGTAATTATTTGTTCCTGAAAATTGTAACCACATGTTGGACCTGTTTCCTGAAAGTGGACGCTGACCCTTGTGCTGCATTCCCTTGCGCTCAAGTCACAAGAACTCCCCTTGTGGTTTTAGAGCTTAGATACCTGCTGACTCCCCACCTTGGCGCGCACTTAGGCACTTTGTGCCGGGTGTTGCTGCTGGGGACCAGCTAAAATAAAGTGCTCTTTTCTTTTTGGACTTGTCTCCCAGTTGTCTCATTTTTGGCTTACAACAAGTTATATGCTTAGTAGAGGAATGACTAGGTCATATGATAACTATGTTTAACATTTTGAGAAATTGGCAAGCTGTTTTCCAAAACAGTTGCATTATTTTACATTCTCACAGCAACATGTTAGAGTTTTAATTTCTCACACTTGTTATTTGTGTACTTTTTATTATGTCCATCCTGATAGGTGTGAAATGATGACTTATTTTAGTATCTCTTCTGATTAGTAATGTAGAGCATCTTTTCATGCCCTTATTGGCCATTTGGAGAAATGTCCATATCATTTACCCATTTTTAAGTTGGGTTATTTAGCACTGAGTTAAGAGTTCTTTGGATGTTCTCCATAGAATCCTTCATTTTGAAAATATTTTTTCCCATTCTGATTGTCTTTTCACTTGTTAGTACCAATTGCAGTATGAAAATTATACATTTTTATTAAGTTAGTTTATCTTTTTCTTGTTGTTTAGATTATTGGTATTATATTGAAAAAATGAGGGGGCCCGCCCATTAGCTCAGGTGTTTAAGTGCCTGCTTAAATGAAGCAGTCAGTCTCTGGGAGCGGTGGTTCGAGTCCCAGATACTCAAGGCAACCCAGACCAGCGCTGGAGGCAATCTAGAGCCGCCAAAAAAAAAAAAAGAAAAGAAAAGAAAAAGAAAAAGAAAAAGAAAGAAAAAAAAATGATTCTATATTTGTCCCTATTTTCTATAAGAGCTTATAATGTTAATTCTTACATTTAAGTCTGTAATACACTTTGAGTTTATATTTTGTATAGTATAAGGCAGGTATCCACCTTTCTTCTTTAGCATGTGAGATTCAAACACAATTTGTTGGACAGATATTCTTTCCCTATTATATTGTCTTGATACCATTATTGAAAATGAGTGACTTAAAATATAACTTATTTTTGTGCTCAAATCTATTATGCATATCTATGTCTAAACCTATGTCAGTGTCATAGTCTTGATTAGTGAAACTCTGTGGTTTAGGTCTTAAAATCAGGAACTATGTCCCTTTCTGCTTCATTCTTTTTTTTTTTTTTTCTCATAATTTTATTGAGAAACAATAGCAATGAGACAGTTTCTAATCAAATTGGTAGGACAGTTTCAATAATTAACACATTGCATACATTCTTCCTAGTGGTTAATCTACTTCGTTCTTCTTCAAGACTGACTTGCTACGCTGAGTCCCTTGTATTTCCATATGAACTTCTGGACCAGCTTGTCAATTTATGAGAGAAAAAAAAAAGAACCTGCAATTTTTTTAGGGATTGTATTGAATTTATGTATTTGTTTAGTTTTTGGTGTGTGTGTGTGTGTGTGTGTGTGTGTGTATCTCGCTGGATATTGAATTGCCAGCATTTGTATTGAGCTATATCAACAGGTGTTTTTTTTTTATTTTTATAATTAATTAATTTTTTTTTTAAATTTTTGAGACAAAGACTCACTAAGTTCCTGAGGCAGAGCTTAAATTTGCCATCCTTCTGTCTGAGCCTCCCAGAATATTGAGATTAATGGCATGTATCACGACAGTGGCTGATACTGTCATCTGAATAATATATCTTTCAATCCAAGAAAGTATTGTTTCCATTTATTTAGGTCCTCTTTAATTCTACAATGCTTTATGGTTTCATTGATAATCTCTTATTGTTGTAGGCAGTTAAATTAGGTAGAAGTATTACAGGCAGTCAGAGAGGGATAGGCCTTCAAAGAGACTCCTTGCAACTGAAGAAGAGACAAACACTCCTTCTGTAGCCCAGTACTTAGGACAAAGGATTAAACAAATACCGCCACATAACTCCCTAGGGATGGGCATCAGAGATTGATATTCTAAATGGCTATCAGTCGACTTTAAAGAACCAGAAAGAGTCACTGACCTATCCCCCTATAAGAAAAGCCCATGTTCTCTGGGATTACAGGCGCACACTACCACGCCCAGTCTCAATCAAAGTCTCAATCGAGGTCTCAGCGTGCCCCAGGGGTGGGGGCGGGTGCACACAGCAGGCCCGGAAACCCAACCCCAGCGCCTGCTTGCAGGGCTTTAATCCGCCGAGCTATTTGGCTGGCCCTAAACAACTAATTTGAAGATAACATCACGTAACACAGCAACCATTGTTGAATTCCTATTACTTTGTTTAGTGAAATTTTGTATCATTTCTGTTACTGTTTTTCTTATTACTATTTTGTATTCTTTAAAAAATAAAATATATTAAAAAACTGGGAAAAAAAAAAAGCCTCTGTTCTATATTCATGTCCACTTGCTACATGAGTGGCTTTCCCATTTGATCCTGATTTAATCAGTTTGACCTGAGCAATTGTACTTGTAATCTTATTGTTTGACCATAGTTTTGTCCAACCTCATGTGCAAGTTCCCATGTTTTCCACCTTAGACACCACCTCACAACATGGTTTTGCTCTGTAAGACTCCCTAGAACAGGCAGATTCCTTGGCAACCCACCCAGGACCCTTCTGTGACTCTCTCCTGCAGAAGCTTTCTTTCCACCAGTAAATATATTCTTCTCTTAACCTGCTAATATTCAGTCTTTGGCTTTACAGAACATGAACCATCCCAGGTATCTTTCAGGTTAGGAGTTTCATTTCCCTATATCATTATATTCTTGTAAAATTTATTCTTGAATACTTTATTTAATGCTATCTAAATTGCATTTAAAATCTTAATTTGCATATTATTCATAGCTAATATAAAACACATTTGATTTTTTTGGCTTTTTGAGACAGTTGGAAGGCCACATAGTGAGGTCTTGTCTCAATAAAGAAATACAGATATGCATACATAGCTTTTACATTAACACTGTGGCAAACCCTGTGTTTTCTTTTTTAAAAAAATATTTCTATGCCCTTTGTGAATCATTTGATTTGCAGCTTAGAATGATTCAGACACAAA